AGTCTATACTACAGCGCTCGGTCATAACTGATGGTAAAGAGCACAGTAACTCCTCGATCGTTCGAATATCTTCACAAAAGGCTCTAGCTCCATGCAAGCGTCCAACTTGCCTGCGATGGTTAGCTATCGTGTAGCCGCCAGCGATCACCACCTAGTCCGTTGGTTAGTTGCTCGGACAATGATAATGCTTACGATTTGAGTTCAATACTCACCTGCGTAACGTAACATCCCAATTTGCATAGCCGTATCACCTAGCAGTACCGACAACCTCAACAGTTACTGGTGAATCCTGCTTAAGCCTTCCGCTGAGCCAACGGAAAATCGGGTGTATCGTGAATGCGATTAGCAGTTCAGAAAATAAGTCTTACAAAATAAATAAATAAATGGTATATTCTCGGTAAAACGAGACACACCTACAAAGGCGTGATCAAATATGCATAAAAGCACAGCTTCTTTGGAATAGTAAAACATTTTTTAATGAAAGGAATAAACGAAAAGATGTAGTCCATCCGAGTGGGCATATTATCAGCTAATAGTCAGACCAAGGAACATGATGGCGATGTGGCGCGCAAAATTCAGTCATAACTGTTGCGTCAAGATACAAGTTGGGGGTAATTTCGCCATGTAGTGCTCCATGAGCACAGGAGCCCAAACAGGGTTTTGGTACAATCAATGACCATTGCGAAGCCTGGATGATCTGTACTCCATCAAAGCTTTCTTCATAGGGAAATCAGTTGCGCAGGCTGGATGTAGGAGGCTGAGGATTGCGTCAGAGTGAAATGATTAACTGTGACTTTATTTTGTGGCGAGTCACATTCGCCACGTTGCAGTGTTGTTAAGCGGACATTTGTGGCTTTTTATAGGGAGAACGCTTGCCAGGCGATAACCCACCACGTCCTGGAACACTGCCGTAGCTTTCGTTGAACAGTAGTGCTAGTCATCTATGCAACATGTAGACCGATTTTGCACTCTGTTATTCGCAGTCGGTTGACAGCCAAAATTCTTCCTTGGTTGTCCAAAGGGCTTAGTAATGGTCCGGCAATAGTCGTTGAAGCCGGTAAATAATGTAAAAGGGTCGCAGATTCGAATGATAATGATGCAGGTGAGTAAACACATTATTAATAGTGGCCGGCCTTTTCTATTCTATCCTTGTCCGGCTCGCAAACCGTGTCCAGCTATCCACGCTGAACATGTCATGGGGATGGTGAGTGCAGTTGTTTTTGTGTTTGAATATGTCTAAACAGATGAAAATGACATTCTTCACAAAGTGGATTCGGAATTCCTTTACATGTAAGTGTAAATGTCGCCATGGCCAAGTGAGAACTCCTTGGAAGGCCATCGGAAAAGCCACTTATAACGGCGCAACGCTGTCCGTGAAATGACGTCAGAAAAGCTCCAGGTGACTGGAGAATCGGAATGTTTGAGGCAATGAAGGTAATCACGCCAAAATTGCTTGTCTTCGGTTGTGTAACAGGGGATTCATGTAAATATATTATTCCAGGTGAGTAAATTGTTCTACTGTGAGTATGAAGCTAGCTAAACCCATTTGCTTAGACCCCGCAAAGGTAGGGTCTCCAGAATGGCGGAAAGAGCTCCATTTGGAACTATGTGTAGGTTCTTCATTTCCCGGATAAAGGACCAATCGTTTATACCAGCTGGCTATTGTAGCTGGGTCAACCAGTCCCAGTGGATAAACCTTCTTGTTTTGGCGGAAGTAACTGATATTTACAATACGGTCAATGTCAGTGTCGCAGGACGTGGTTAGTTTACGTCTGGCAAGCGTTTTCTCTAGATAGAGCCACAAAGGTCTGTGTAGCAAAACTGCGATGTGGCGGTCGTGACTCACCACCGAAATAAAGTCACCGCCCACGGCTTTGCACGGAGAATGGTCTCAATATCCGATATTTGCGAGCACAAGTTCATCAAGCACTCTAGCGGAATCCTATGTCTACGGAAAGACGGAGCTCAACTCCGGAACCACTCTTACCCCCACCCAGCATTTCCGAAACAGAAACACTGTGATCTTACGGCCCTTCGGCGCCACATTTCTCTTGGCACCAATGAGCATGCCCCTCACCCATGTATCCTTCCTATGTAACAGTACGTACAATTTTCGAGCCACATATTTTTCCAACCCGTATCTCTGTCGTGTGATGTACACACTCGTTTAGTGTTTTTGTAACTTGCTCAACCACTTGATCACGCGTGTACTGTTGGGTCGCTTTTCGCCGAGTATATAAGTATTTATTTATTTAAGTAGTAACACAAAAATCCCAACAAACCAGTTATACGCAGCCTGCGAAAACCTGAACAGTTACAAGAAAAATACGCACCGTTTCTATTTCATTCCGTACCCCATCTATAGGTGTCACTACAATGGCAGGTAAATTAGCAGATACCATGGAGCCCGAAGTTTCTAGCGACGTTAAAGGCATTCGACATGACGGTTGAGGCGATCCAAGTAAATAAGTTAATATTGTATTTTCGAAAAGCGTAACACGTCTTTTGGGCTGAAGCAGGAGAGTGCAGTTTGTTACATGACCTAATGGGCTGTTTACAATACTGGGAGAGCCTCGTGGGCTGTTCCACTCTTTATCAGTACACCCTTCTCATACCGACCTTAACCGCTTTTGTCGTTCCCTCTGTTTTAATTCCTTCTTCCATCGGACTGCCAGCTCTCACTGCCCTGCCGTGATTTTGTATCGCCTAACCAGCCGTTTTCTCTCTGACTGCTACTGCGCTACCCAGAATTAAATGGTATAGGCTCTGCAGGCTCAATGCTACGTTGCTATTAGCTCGCGAACCCGCTGCCTTTTTTCACCCTTTATGGCTATAGCTTTTCAGACCAACTTGGTTTATGCCCTAAGCCCAAGGTGCCAATTAAATAAGTCTGGCTGATCAGCCTCTTACGCTCCGTACTCACTGTGACTTCAGACATCAAAAATATTAGTTCGGCCGACCCAAAACAAGAAGGATTATCCACTTGGACTGGCCGACTCAATCACAACAGCCATCTGGCTTAAACACTTTACTCTTTCTCCGGGAGATAAAGAACCCATTCACCGTTCCAAATGGAGCGCTTTCTGCCATTCTGGAGACGCCACTTTCACGGGGTCTAAACGAATGGGTTTAACTCGCCTTGTACTCACGGTATCCCAATTCACTCACCTGAAATATCTACATGGATCCCCGGTTCCACAACGGAAGACTAACAATGCTGACTTGCTTACCTCGGTTAGCTTTGCTCATTCTCACCGGCATTCAAAATATGGGTTTGTTGCCATTCTTTTCCGAAAGAGCACTCCGCTTCTTCATTCACCTAGAGCATTTTCGATGTCATTCCACGAACAGTTTTACTCTCGTATAAATGGCTTTCCTTTGGCCTTTCGTGGTGTTTTTACTTTACCATTGAGACAATTACACTCACTTACATTTGAAGGAATTCCCATTCCATTTTGCCGTAAGAAATCTGTAAGATCCCGCACTGGACAATACAAGGGCCTTTTTGCCTGTTATGGACGTATTTAGCCACAAGGAACAACTGTACTTATTATTCCCATGACAAGTCTAGCGTGGATAGCTGGGCACGGTTTGCGAACCAGACAAGTATGTAACGAAAAAAGCTAGCCTCTATTAATAATATTTTACTCACTTGCACCCTTTATCATTCGAATCTGCGGCTCTTTTGCATCATTGACCGGTTTCAACGACTATTGCCGGTACACTACCAAGCCAATCGGTCAACCAAGAAAGAATTTTGGGTGCCAACCGACTGGGAATAATTTAGGGCAAAATCGGTCTGTACGACGTATAGCCGGTTAGCACTACTGTTCAACGAAGCTACGGCCGTGCTACATGACGTGGTGGGCTTTGGCCTGGCAAGCGTTCTCCTTATAAAAAGCCGCAAATCTCCGCTTAAAAACACTGCAACGTGGCGGATGTGACGCTCCACTGAATAAAGGCACAGCTGAACATTTCACACTGTCGCAGTCCTCACTTCTACATACAACATCTGCAGCTGATTTTACTATGAAGAATGCTTTGTTGGAGCACAGAACAATCCCATTTCTTAATACTCATTGATTGCACCAAAACTTGTTTGCGCTCCTATGCTTATGGATTAGTGTGTAGCGAATTCACGCCCAAATTGTATCTTGACACAACAGTTATGACTGATTTTCACGCGCCTCGGCGCCATCATATTGCTTGGTCTGATTATTACCTGACAAAAGGCTCACTATTATGAACTACATCTTTTCTGTTAAATCTTTCATTAAAACAAAATATTTCATTATTCCATAGAAGCTATGCTTGTATACATATTTGATCGTGCATTCACAGGTATACCTCGTTTTACCAAGAATATATCTTCTATTTATTTATTTATTTAAGGATCTGCTTACACTACCTAATACTCCTCGTTGGCTCGTCCACGCTTTAGCTATAAAATGTTCACAACTCGACCGTAACCGCTTTCGGTCTCGCCCACTGTTTTCATTCCTCCTTCAATCAGACGACTAGCTCTCACTGCCCTGCCCTAACATTGTCTCACCTGAACCGCCGATTTCTCTGACTGCTGCCGTGCTAGCAAGGCTTACGCGGTATAAGCTCTGCGGGCTCAGCGCCATGTTTCCCTTCCCTCGAGAGACTACTAGGTTTGGTCAATCTTTATTGTCATACAGTTTCGCCCCTCTTATTTTGCGTTCTAACGCAACGCGATGACTAATCCAGTCTTGCCCTGTCAGCACCATCGGTCACTCGAGCGCACGGATGGGGACACTCATCGGGCGATCATGATATATGTTTATTTATGGAAATGCGTGTTGGCGTAGTATATTAATATTTACAGTCAGCACATTGTTTTTATTATTTTGCTTCATAACGATCGATAATGCTCCTGCCACTCTATGTTTAAATGCACCATTTTATTACTGTGCTACTGGCGCGTAATTACCATTTCGCTTCTGTGTCTCGCCGAGTTCGCTGATCCGTTTTCGGCTATGGATAAGAAGCCTGTGAACGCCTTTTCAAGTTGCTCTAACACAACTTTTTATCGTAGAATACGACGAGTTGAAGATGATATACAGAGAGAAGTGCAAGCAGTTATGTCATTACAAGGTATGGGCTTTTTTCGCGGAATGTATTTTCAGCTGCACGGGAGATGATAAGTACTGGACCTACCGCACAAGATGTGCATTCTTCGCGCCATGCCGTGCAGGAACCTTTAACGCACGCAATATCCCCTAATGGTGGAGTCATTCATCACAAATATGAATCGGATGTGCCTTGTGCTTCCTCTTTATTAAATATACGTATGCAAATGTTTCATAAAACGTACTCTTTTAGCCCGTCCAACCAATTTCTTGCGTCCAGCGGAATCGGTTACCTTAGAGGAAATTCTGCGTGACGTGGCTCTGGACGGAAACTTCACTTTGACCCAGATTAACATCCTTTTGCGCAATCTTCGGCGCCTATATCCTAACTTACCGGTTGACGCTCGTAGCATTTTGAAAACACCCCGTCGGTGTCCAGTGAGATTAATCAGAGGTGGCAGTTACATCCATATGGGTTTGCAGGACGCCATACGTGACGTGTTGCGCAGAACGCATTCACCCCGTCCGTCATTGCTAAAGTTGCAGATCCATATAGACGGAATGACCGTGTTCAAAAGCTCGCGCAGACAACTGTGGCCAGTACTTGGAAGGCTGATAAATCCGCCAAGCGATGTGTTTTTAATTGGTCTTTACAGTGGATTATCAAAACCTATTAATGTGCATGAGTTCCTGCGGCCAGTGGTGGATGAATTGAAGGATGTGTTACGCAAAGGTGTCTGCTTGTGTGATAATGATGATGCTATAGATATCGTGCTGGACTGCGTGATAGCCGATGCACCTGCACGAGCATATGTTCGGCAGGTGAAACAACATTCCGGATATTTCGCCTGCGAGAAATGCACAATAACTGGTAAGCGAAGCGTAAAGTTTGATAAACATTTGCAGGTTCGCACGTTGATGGTAGAATGACCTTCCCTACCGAACCCCAAAGCTCATTACGTAATGACATGGATTTTAGAACACGAAAACAACCGGAACATCACATCGGCGAATCACCTTTTGAGGCTCTACGGATTGATATGATAAGTTGTTTCCCACTTGATTACATGCACACCTTGTGTCTGGGAGTAACACGGAAGTTAATAATGCTTTGGCGTTGCGGCCCAACACGTGGAAACATACGATTGCCATCAAAATCCATCGACATTATCAATGAACGACTTCGCATTTGTTCGGCTAACCTGACGTGCGAGTTTCCGCGCAAATGTCGCACGTTTGAGGACGTGGAACGTTGGAAGGCCACGGAATTCAGACAGTTTCTTTTATACCTGGGCCCCGTAGTTTTGCGCGGCGTGTTGCCCGAAGACCTGTACAATAATTTCGTTATGTTATCCGTCGCCGCATACATTCTGTGCTGCCGTAGGTGGTGTTCACATTACCTTTCGCATGCGAAATCAGTATTGAATAAGGTGGTGCGTGACATCGCGAAGCTGTACGGTGAGAAGGAGGTGGTCTTCAACGTGCACTGTTTAGTGCATATGTGCCAGGATGTCGGGCGCCTCGGACCCATGGATAATTTTTCCGCATTTCCCTTCGAATCGTTTCTACGACGGCTTCGAAAGCTCATAAATGGCCCGACGTCTGCGACGTCGCAAATTTTTCGTCGCGTAACGGAGCGAAGGTTAACCAATGTCACAGATGATGGCGGTTGTTTGGACGACACTGGATCCACCGTAATTATGCGTCGTGGTCGGCAACAAACCAGTTTCTTACATTTCGGTGCGCTGATTACGAATGCGCATCCAAATAATGCTGTCATCGCACGTGGAAGACCTTCGGTAGTGCTGGGCCAGCGTGCTAATGAGTTATGTGTGCAGCATTTCACACAGACTACGTCGCTGTTCGTAAAAAGTTTGCCGTCCACGGACCTACGTATTTTTAAATGTTGGGGTTCCTTAGCTCCACCGACATGGATTCCATTGAGTGCAATCGGCTGCAAATGTCTGAGATTGCCGTGCGATGAGTACATTGTATTTTACCCCATCGTTCACAGCTGGCGGCACAAGGATATGAAGAAACATCCGACGTAGGTAAGCTGTCTTCATTTATTTATTTGCTTCAGTTAACAGTCCGTTTTATACTTTTAACCTGGGTGCGCAAAATCGTTGTACAACAGTAACGGCGTTGCGCGGTTACTGTTACGTTTTAAGCACCATGGAATACACTGCATATGCTGCTGCACCTGGTATCGCAAATAAAAGTTTCCCCACCGAACACATTTACCTCTTCTAATAAGCTCGTAGAAATGCTGTGCTCTGACCCCTTTTTTTCAGATGTATCGCGTGGTCGAATTTCAAGATTCTTCCGTTGCGGTGGTTCTGTCATCCTGGATGATTAATAGTGAGGAAGTTCTGTGGGGACGGTTATCATCAAAACAGTTACAGGATTTCCTGATGCACCGTCTGCCACCACCTGCGTCCGCTGTGACGTACAAAGTACGAATACACAGTTGTACAGGTGAGGTCACAGAACGATTTATTTATACGCATTTTTAGATGATTACCTTGAGGCTAAAAATTTGGAACAGAGCTTGCTAACATCAGCCGAATTACCATCTAGCGACGCAACGATTCCAATGCTACGATGGGGGAAGCGAAAAATGTATGTTGTAGATAGATAGTATATTATCGCAGCACTGTAAAAACCTTTCCCGACTGTGAGTCCCCGCCAATCGCAACGCGGGGTACTGTTGAAGTCGTGAACTTGGATTTATCACCTCCACCACCGAAGCTGTATTTGGAGGAGGAATTAAACGACGGTTCTGATAAAGAAAATGGATACCTATCAGCCTATCCCCATACATCCAGGTAAACAATGCATTTGTTTTTACACTCGTAGTCCGATTCACCAAGACGTTGCTCAGCCTTTACCTGTTTGCGGAACATCCTGTGACAGCGCACTGCTGTTGGAAATGAATGGTTGGTTCACAGCGTCTCCGAAACATTTACTTGCAGCCACATTGCGGAACGTAAATCGCGAAGTGATGAAACTGCGCGAACGAATGACTGCTGTTGAGTTGTCCTTGAACGCGCTGCATGCACTTCAGGCGCCAAGTTCCAGCAACGCGTGTCCATTTCCATTACCAATGGATACAATAGCGCAACTGTCATTTTTAAATAATGCACTGGAGAACGCTGAGTTCATGAACAGCATGGTAAGTCTCATGGAATTTCACTTATTCGTAGGTGCACTATTTATCCAACGTAAGCGGCCGGACAACCTCAGAAAGTGTGCGGAACGTCATGCTTACTTGCATGACTAACAACTTGGTCAGACATGTGAACTGGCGTGGTGTGCATGAGAAGTATAAAATAGCGAACACACCATTCGCGAGAGCGGTCCTTGGTATGTTACCTTTTAAACAACATTAATATCTTCACCAGATTCCATTATGAGAAAAAACATACCAGGATGCACAGAGCCTGATATTGTTGATAAGTTACGACGCTGGATACAACGAATTAAAGAGCGTGAATCGTGGATACGAAAGGAAACAGAACGGTTAGCACTGGAAAATTCCGCTTTGTAAATTATGAGATCCATATTACACTATGTTTTCGCGAACTGTGTTATGTTCATGGCATGCAATGTGTGCGACCGCATTAACGTGCTTGCAGTGGTATGGGAAGGGAGGATAATGCGGCTAGGCTTTACCCGTTACGGCTGGAAATCGTGGAAATGTGAGCGTGCGAAGGGAGGCGCCACGTTATTTTTCTCCGCGAGCGCCCGATGAGTGACACAATTTTGTGCCACTCGGGCGCCCATCGGGCGCTCGATCGGTCACCCAACGGGCGCCCATCGGACATCCAACGGGCGTTCATCGGACACTGGTGCTGAGTGGGTGCATGCTCGGTCTCCTGATCTCGGAATCCACTCGGACTTCTGAGCGGTAACCAATTTTGGCTTTTTTATACCTATCCTGTCCCTTCCTTACCGCCGTCTCTGCTTACCTTTCTGTAACTGGACAGCCTACTCTGTGTGCCGCCTTGACCTACACACATAGTTTATGCGTTAGCTAGAGGTTGGAAACACCTCAGCTACCGTGCAGCAATAACGAAAAGAAAAAGTGAATAAAATGCAACAGGTGTAAGTCAGCGGAGTTACCGGAAACGGGTGGGCCTCGTTCCGGTAAGCTACCTGCCGACTACAACGCAGCAGAAGAAAAGGTTAAGTTACTATGCAAAATTATAAAATGCTAAATAATGAGATCTTGGTTTCTGGGGAGGCTAAGAGGGATGGAATGGGACAAAGAAACTCACAGCATGTATGCCACTATGGTTGGCCCCCAGTCTTATCCACAAGTGTATCTAGCTAAACGTGCTCAGCGTCCTTCGGACCACAATCACGGAGCCTAGACGCCCCAGCTGAGGCCAGCTTCGAAGCGTGGGCCTTCATTCTCTCCACCAAGTCATCGCTTGGCCACCTCTCATCTTCTTCCGTCCACACCCCGGAGCGCAAACAGCTCACGTCGCGGAAGTCGGTGGGCTGGCATGCGTAACACTTGGCCGAGCCATCGGAGCCTGGTGCGTGAAATAACGGTGCTGAGCGCTTCATTTCCATTTCCTGTGCCGTTAATAAGGCGTAGCACACGCTCGTTGCTCACGCGGTGTTCCCACCAGAAGTGAGCTAAATTGTGAAGGCCTTGGTGGTCGAACGTAACCAACCTCTTTATGTCCGCTGATGTAAGGGGCTTGATCTAGCCGACTCTCACCGTATTCTGTGTTCCGAGTGTATTCATAAAACCAAGACGTGTATGGCCTAAGTGTTGCATACCTAAAGCACTGTTGTCCACTTCCCGGGAACTTTGCTTGACTTTCTCACGCTTTCTTAGCATAGTATCTTACGTCCGGAACATGCCCATCTAGGCTGCCTCTCACCATTCGGCTCCCCAACTTAATTGGACGACCATCTCAATGTGAAAACTAACCCAATCTCCTTGGAACGGTCCCTTGCTCTCCGACTTTGCTGAGTTCAATTAAATGTCAACGAACACGCTTCGGCTAATTTTAAAGCTTTTTATATGAAACTCATATAAGTGCTATGGTTAATTTATAATGAAACATTGGGACAAATGAGCGCTCCGACATGTGGTTTGTTTGCATCGTTGGTTGCAACTGAAAAAGTGGCCTGTTTGTTGTCTTGAATAGTTACCAGTTCAGAAACCTATACTGGAATTCAGTGATGGTAATGACGGATTTTCTATGTGGCTTTTGTCTATTGACAACTGGTACCGTTTTCTCTCTCTAGCTGTCACGCTGCACAATTTGAGGGGATGACATGCTCGATCCATTCGTACGCTGAGTTAAAAACATACCTGCCGATATTTTACCTTAACGGTATACTACCCCTTTCACAGAATTCTTCTTTTCTACCTTTCTCCTTATTTCATTGTTGGCTAAGACTGGGCTGATCTCCTGTGGCGACGGATTATAGCTTCCATATTGTAAAAGACTTTACCTATGCCAGGCACATTGCCACAAATTGACTGGCGCATAAAATGTGCCATAACTAAATGATCCGCATGACAGACGGCTCAGGTTTCACTGCTCAGAATACACGTATAAAAGCTGTCCTAAACACACACAACAGATGATAAACAGGTGGTAGCTCATACGCTACTATGTCCTACCGGCACGCGGCCAGGTATTGCATGGAAGTGCGGACGAAAACTTTCGATGGAATAACGCATGGAACCAGGTCCCCTGAGGACAGTTCCACGAATGGCCGTATTACTTTAACTGGCCAGCTGTTAAAATCTGCGTGTTATCTTTCCTGGATTTTTAATTTCGTTAATACCTTAATCCCGCCAATTACTTGAATATCTGTTTTGGATCTATTTAGAAAAGCGGGAAAAAATGAATTGTTTTTTGCGATCCTGTTGTACACATTGAGCAGACCACATGGTTGAACTGCACCTCGCATCACCGAGGAATATACCGTTTGTTTATTTATTTATGTGGGATTCATTACCTCAAACACTTGCAACGGATCTTCCTTGCCCTCATTTCCGGATGAACCGTCGTTGTCTGTTTGTGTGGCTGCTTTTGTTCTGCCTATTTTCCGTTATTTACACCGAATCCGTGGCCAGCATCCGGAAGAACGCCCATTGCTATGGCCTCAGCAGTTCAACGGTGCACAATATTTCTCCATCTGGAAGTGGATGGATAATTATTCCACCGGAGGGACAAACTACTTTTTGGCACCTTGGATGGATGCCATTACACTGAGTCCTGAGGCCTCCGCTTCACATACTACTTATCCGTAGCTCTTGCGACCATATTTAATGTCAACCGGGACATGTCGCCTGACTTCGGAGGGCAGCTACTCCTGCCAGTGCTATGCCCTTGAGTTGGAAATTTTCCAACACACTGCTACCTTAGACTACGGTGAGAACAACTAGGTTTGGCGTTTTCAATACCGGGAAATCACTTTGTACTTACCATAACCCTGCAGCAGTTCACACTAGGTTTATCGTCCACTTGGCCGTGGATGTCAGTGTTTTCAACCGATACCACTTACCTTGGGGGAATACCGGTTCGTTATTCCCGACCACTTGCTATAATTCTGGGCCTGATTAATTGGGTTAAGCCAATTTCTGGGCTCCAGTAATACTTCAACTTCACAGTGTTTCGGGTGCTCCTCAGAGGCATTACGCCGTTCTACGACAAATAACAATAAATAACCTAACAAGAAACGTTTAATTTCTGCTCCACCTACCGAACGGGCCGATCCATTCCGTCGGGACGTTACAGGACCAACGAACGAAACAGCCTTTCGCCCACGAGGCATCAACCAACGAAATTCCGGAGATACACTGACTGCGAGTAACAGCACCACCAATGCATCAATAAGACGCACTGCCAATTACAGTTTGCCTTTCAACTGCGTCGATGACGGTGTTCTAGGACGTAGTGGATGTTCACATGGCAAGCGTTCTTCCTAAAAAGCCACAAATGTCCGTTTAACAACACTGCATCGTAGCAGCTGTGTCTCGCTACCGAGTATAGTCATAGCTCTTTACTTGACACTGGAAAGTGGAATAGGACCGTCTATCCCCATTACTGATCCCATCGACACGTTCCTATCTGCGCATTTTCTCACCATGACTTTCTCTGCGCATTCATAGTTGAGCTCTAGGCTACGCTCATATGAACCCAGGGAATGTTGTAATAAATGTTCGTTATGTGCATCTCCAGAACTTTTCTAACCGCTCGGCGCTAGTTCTCGATTTATTGGTGGCTGCATTGCGGTTGCAGTTTGTGGCAGATTGATTGTACCCTTACGAACGTGCCCGAACTCACGACCATGGGTTTTCTGCATTTTTACTTCTCTTCTATTTGTACAGGTTCAAGCATGAACGCCAGAACAATCTCCGATTAGCAGCTTTAAATTGCATTGGAAATTTTGTGCCAGTGCACTAATTTGATCCTGCCACCGTGCGCGTGCCTCGCACACACAAGAAGAAATAAATGAATATTTATTTATTTATTTATAGGCAGTAGGACCAGGCGCGGGATTGCTACCAATATAGTCAGTAGTTTAGGTCTACATAACCCGAGAATTGAACGCATTCTATCCTCGCAGAGTGCAAGGTGTAAAGATAACCCTACAGAGATCATTGGAGTGGAGTATGTTGGTGGGGACCTGGTCGCATGAGGTTAGGTACACATTGTTGGTCAGGTGGGTTAACATAAAGCAGTGGTTATGAAACTTTTTTAATAAAAGTAGCATGTCACTGATCATGCACGTAGTCGTAGTCGTATGAGGTCAGGTTTGCGCTCAGCCCTAGTGAACTGTGTACTCGATCAGTTTGTCAATGCAGTGATGCTATCAAGTGGCGAGACAATCCGCCATATCGCAGTGTTGTTAAACTGACGTTTGTGGGATTTTTAGGAAGAACTACTGCCAGGCAGAAACCTGCCAGATTCTGGAACACTGCCGATGGGTGCTATGACCCTGACATGGGTCTACCCGACCTACTGTACTCGCGGTTATTTACAGTCACGGTTCGTCATCCAGTTTCCGCTGGTTGGTTGGTTAGCTTCTCCGAGGTTGCTCGAGAGTGCTTGTAGCTGATGAAGTCGGTCGATTAAGGTGACTTATGCTCAGCAGCTTACCTTTCCGGATTCCTTTAGTGTGTCAGGATTGCAAAGTGTGGTATATTAAAATTACCTGGGTTGCTTTTGTTGCCAGGTGGTTGACGCAGGTCTTCCGTGTAGCTAATGATATCCATTCGAAGAGGAAAGAAAAGGAAAACGAGACGGCGCAAACTGCCAAGAAAACTGGACAGGACTATGTTGATGTATGAAGAAAAATATTTTCGAAATTTTGTAGTGGTTAAAAGCAATGGATGGTCCGAAATATGTTATATATGACAGCTGTTATATTGAGTGCGCATACGAGGCGCGATAGTGGTTGAATGGGAGACCAATTCTGTCCGAATTGGCACAGCAGGAGCAACAGCTCCTTTTGTGGAAGCAGAAATTATCAGGCTTTGTTAACAGATAAAATAGTTGAAGGGAACCTAAATGACATACAACTAGTGGAATATGCGACCAGAATGGTGATTTAGTGAGCAGTCTCCAGTGGTCTAGACTGTAATCCGGACAGGTAAGGGAGCAAGTGGAGTTACTGCGCCCGTCTAGAGACCCAAGCGAAGAAGAATATAACAGTTTCAGTACTCGGATGATAGAGAAATAGTTAGGAGCTGGTGTGAAACGGAGGGTCAGAGAACTTGCTAGGGGCATAGAAGGGATTACCTACTGCAG